TTAGATATAGAATGTGTAAAAGTACACATATTTTTCAAAAATTATAGAAGGAACTTGAGGAAATATGCTTCAGATTCTCTGTTTGGAGATAAATATTGACTTAGTCTTATAATCCCCTTGGGTTTTTGCCTTTTGCAATACTTGGTGAGTCTTGGACATGGGAGTGGATGTGCAGAAGTTTATTCTGTTTTTGTTGTTTAAAGTTTTGGAGGCAAGAGCAGTATCAACAATTCTGTTGGATAAAGTGAAGTCAAACAGAATCAGGCAGTGGTCAGGAGATTCCCTTATCCAACCTCAGTTAAATACATAAACAGTAAAATCATTTGTTTGTTTCAAGTAAAGCCCCCTCCCCCCCATTTTTTTCTAGTTTAAGCCAAGGCTATAGAACTGAGGGCCATTTGGTATATGCTCTAGATTGCAGAAGAAAAAGATACAGCAAAGCTTTAGCTGCTCAGAATAAATGTTGTTTAAACTTTATTCCAAGGACTCAATTTTATTAAAAAACTCGACCAAAAAAAATGACCTTATCTCTCAGGGTTCATGGCATTTATAATTCTGAAGTCAGATCCAAAGCATCTGACCTCACATTCCTATTTTACTCTTTGATAGTGATGAACAAAATAGTCCTTAAAAATCAGAGTCAGCTGATATTCAGTAAGGGCATCTGTCAGTACCATAATATTAGACTTGGGCCAGCATTTAAAAATGGGTAATTAAGAATCTGGCTCTTTTTGCTGTGCTGAGTTCCTGGCCAAAATCTCCCCATTGCAGGTGGTCTGTGGGAACTGGGTTCATGAAGGCTATGATGTGGTTCTATTTATGTCTCTATGTTAGACAATAACCCTGAAGCCACAGCTCCTGTGACTCTGCCAGACTAGCATCCAAAACAAAGCACAGACCTCGTTTCCAAGGGACCCACCACAATTCCGTATGAGCACAGTGCCCAGAGCCCTAGTTGTCGATGGCCTTATTGTTTGTTTCTGCTGTCTGCCTGGCTGCCGGGACGACAGTGGACGGTGTCTGTTTCTCGCTGAACCCAGAAGGCCAATATGCAGTAGAGGGAGGGGCTGATACACATGCTCTGTACCATTAAATAGAATATTGCTGGTCCTATTAGTCACTGGAGGGCTCCGTCGGCAAGGTGGTGGGACAGAGTCCTGTTGATAGGTCTTAGCAATAAAAGTATTGCTTCATTTATATTTCCTGGGTTATAAATATCCCTCCAGTACACTGCCTCATTTGATACTTAAAACTATTTTGTGGTATAGGAGAAGTTTGTATTTTTATTCTCATTTTCAGGTGAAAGGAGAAATTTGGAAGGGTTAAGTGATGTGCCTCCAATCACCAGGCCAATAATTAACAGGTCCAAGAACTATTCCCAGCTTTGCCATCTCTCCATCAGCTTCTATTTGATCTTCGATCACCTGCTGTGTTGAATTGATAGAATAGTGCCTGTGTAATAGCATTTAAGACTCTCTTCACCAGTACATCTGACCCAGCAACATTCAGACTTCCAGTTGTGGCTACTGCTGTGACGTCACCAATTCTACGATACTGATTGTCAGCCATGCAGCATGTTGAGGTCACAGACTTAAAAAATGAAAATCAGAATCTTACTATGCTTGCCATGTCTGTAGGGGTTGGAGGAAGGTGCAGTAAGGCACATATTTTCAGGTGGTTTGGGTTAAGTTTTTAAGGTCTGGATGGCATAAAATTTATAACTGGATCACATTGTGGTAGCAGTGACTTTCTTATTCAATTAGAAAATATACCATGCCTGTGATTTTCAAAAAACTATGCTGAATTGTAGAGACCTGTTAAGAAATATTATGGGCTGCCTGGGTGGCTCAGTCGGTTAAGCATCTGACTCTTGGTATCAGCTCAGTTCTTGATCTAAGGGTCATGAGTTCAAGCTGTGCATTGGGCTCCACACTAGGCATGGAGCCTACTTGAAAAGAAAAGAAAAGAAAAGAAAAGAAAAGAAAAGAAAAGAAAAAAGAAATACTATAAGGACTTCTCTCCAAGAGTTCATAATTCCATTGGAGAGATAATTCATGTGCATATAAAATAACCAGCAACTTAGGGCACCTGTTCATTAATGCTAAGGGGAGGACCAGGTGGGAAGGCTTATAATTTTGCAGGAGCATCACAGTGAATGGAGGGGATCTTAGAAGACTTGGATTTTCATAGTGGAAGTAAAGTCTGATGCTGTATGTGAAATAGTGGTAGGCATTCTAGATAATGGCTTGAGGATAACAGAGGAAAAAAAATGGGCAAAAACATGGAAATGAATAGAGCATGTTGGAAATATAATTAAATCCATTGAAAAAAAAAATCCATCCCACTAAACAAGAATTTACAATAGTGAGGGTTGGGAGATTGATGTACAAATGTTGGGAAGATTAAGGATGGCTCTAAATGCCAGTATGATAGTTGATTCTGTAATCTTGAAGAAAGTAGTTATTTGGGTATTTTGAGACAGACACTGATACGTAAGAAGTAGCTTTTTCCCTGGTGGCTGCGCCCAGGATAGACTGAAGAACCGGGGGGAAACAGACTACCCCGGGAGAAAGAAGTTAGCAAATGGAGCGAACTTTGCCATCTCTCCATCAGCTTCTATCGGATGTCCCGATGTGAAGTGACCCATCAGTGGGGCCTGAGGGCTGCTGGCTGGGAGGAGCAGGCTGGGGGGACCTGGTCATGCTGCCTCGGGGGTCCCTGGGCAGACACTGCACCCGCTTCAGTGTACTTGCTGTTCGCTACAGCTTCCTTCCTCACACACTCACAAATTGTTGCTATGGCCCTAAAGAGAAGCTTTATTCATCTCTCTCTCACCTGGTCCATCAAGAGTGGCCCGAGAGTTGATGGTGAACTTGGCAAACACCTCCCCTGTGAATTCATGCCTTCGTACTTGGTTCCATCTTATACCACATAGACCCATATTGAATTGAAAGGGCTGGGCTACCTAACCCTTTGGCCCCCTGACTTTGTGTCCTCTCTGTGAGCCCTTTCTGTCAGGCGGTTCTCACTCCCGGTGCTGGGGGATTGTGGGTTGTTGCTGGCCACACAGCAGCGACCACCACCCCTATCCTAATAATTCAGTCCATGTGTGTTTTGCAAACAGTGTGTCCTTTCTGTGGAAAACGACAGTATCGGTGACAGAAGGAAGCATTGTTTGGGGGAGAGGTGAGCGTGTCAGGGTCCCCAAGACCACCTGTTTTGAAGATTCGCTAGGATTACTCCTAGGACTAAGGAAGTGTTACAGCTGTGATGTATTACAATGAAAGGCTGCAAAGCAAAATCAGCAAAGGGACAGGCACATGGGGCAAAGTCTGGAGGAAACCAGGTGCAACCTTCTGAAAGTCCTCTCCTAAGAGAGCCACACAGGATGTGCTTAATTCCTCTGATAGGAGTTGTGATAGCACGTGTGAAATATTGTCTGCTGGTCTCGTTAGAGGCTCAGTGCCCAGAGTTTTTATTGGGGACTGGTTACGTAAGCATGTTCTGCATGGCACATACCCAAATCCCAGACTCTCAAAAGGAAAGCAGGGGTTCAGCATAAACCACATTGTTTGTACCAACATTTTAGGTGCAGTGAGCCTCTCTTAAGTGTTTGGGGGAATAGGGGAACCCTCTTGAAATCCAAGTTTCTAGATGGCAGCCAAGGGCCAACCTTGTAAGCAGACCTTGTAAGGAGAGCGGTCTCCAGCCTGCTGGTTAACTCCTCTGCACTTGGAATGATTGTTAGCACTTCAGTTGCTGAGAAAGGGGTATTGATGGAGCTATGTTTCAAAATCCAGAGGAATCTGATGTTAAGTCATGTTTCTGGAAGTGAGATTTGAGTTGGGGACAAAAGAAGAGGATTCAAGGAGGAACCACAGAGCCCAGAGGGCTGAAAGTGGTCCTGGTCTTCTGTCACATGCAGGAGACAAGAGAAGCAGATGGAGAACATGTGTTTTAGGAACCCAAGAGAAGGGAGAGGCTCAAAATGGAGGAAGTGCTCCATTGTACAGTGCTACAGATTGGTAGGAATCCTGGGGACTGCAAAAAAGTGCCATTGGGAATTCTTATAGTAATGTGTAAATTGATTTTTTTTCTTAAAATGATCTGTACACATTAAAACAAGACTTTTCCAGCCAGCACCTTAAAAGCTTCCCTGCCCATCGCATCTTTGCTTTCTTTTTGATCACTTTACAAAATCCCTATTTCAATTTTTTTTTTGTCATTGTCTTGCATTAGTTTATTTGGGTTTAGATGTCACAGGCAGATAGAAATGGATGAGCTTTGGGAAGGCTAAACAAAATTCTTTGAGTATTACTGCCCACTTCTCTCTGGTAATTATTTAAGGACAACAGCCGCCAAAAAGCATCTCTTCCGTTCTTGATGGAAAAGTAATTCTGTTTGTTCATTTAAGAGGATTGTGTTTGCTCTTCCATTAATCTCATTGCTGCTTGCTAGTGAAGGATGAAAATTGGGAAAGCTGCTTGTTTTGAGTCCCAAGGAGATGGTGAAAGTGTTTGAATTTCCTACGACACCCTTGGACTCTTCCCAGACCTTGACTTCTAGGTCCTAACTCTAATACTTAATTTCTCTTTTTCTGGGTTCTCAGATGTTAACATTGTGCAGCCCCTCTGAGACGGATGCCCAGCCTTCCAAAGAACCACGTGACCCAATAGCGGCTTTTCCTTTGCTTATAATAAAATCCTATCTGAACCACATTCATTTGGGGAAAAGAAACAACTCTTTTTGTGGCTGACTTTGAGTAGTTAGTGGCACAGAAAACACTGGTGCCTCCTCTCACGCTCCAGATGATTGAGGAGTGGGAAGTTCTTGGATGGCAGAGGGCGGAGGACGGAAGCGTGAACGTGGCATTTGCAGGACTTGACTTACCTTGAGGGGCAGGGCCGCCTTTGGCCTTGCTTCATTGGACTTCAGGAGGGCGAGTGCGCGCTGTGATGGAAGCCGTTTTAAATTCTCTATCTCTTGTCCTAAAATCCCAGGGCTTCCAGCAAAAATTCTCCTTCCACAGTAAAGAGATTGTGGCTATCAGCTGTTCCTGGTGCAAGCAGGCGGTAAGTCTGGGGACAAAATGAAACAAAATGGGCTTATGTTTTATCACGGTGGACTTTGGTCATTATCCAAGTTGCTGTCTATAAGTGGAAGGTTATTCTAATTTATGTATTATTTCCCTCATGTAGGATCCTTGAGGAAGAAAGATTAGAACTATAGAACTGCAGCCTATATGACCTGGCAGAAACTATAGAGATCAATTAACCCCTTCATTTATATACACTGAAGCCTAGGATCAGAGACTGGGAAATCCTCCCCTGGTTCTAACCTGGGCCTAGAATCAAGGACTTCCCACCCCATAGATTGTATTTCTTCCCCTACACTGGATTGTTGATAACTCCTCTATGGTTGAAAGTTGCAACATTAGATAATCCCTCTAACACCAGCATCCAGCCATGTTGGTTCTTCTGTTTTTGATATGGGTGACTTTCTTACGGTGTGCTGTTGGGGTAAGGAGTGGTCTCGTACCCTTCTTTAGGCTTGGATATTATTGCAGCTGTGTGTATATTCATCGAAACGTAACTCTTCTTTACATTTGAGCGTATATATTCATTAGGATCCAAAGGTAGTTTCCCTGTTTTCCTCTTTTATCTATCCTTTGTCCATTTTTTAACACCTCTCTTCCAACCAGATGGCTCATTTTCTTGTTTGCTTATGCACCTGTTTTTTTGGTTTTTTGTTTGTTTGTTTTTAACCAGACAGTGCTAACTCATGGGTTGACAGACTATGGCCCATAGACCAAATCTGACTGCTGCCTGTTCTTATAAATACCATTGTATTGGAACACAGCCATGCCCATCCATTTATTTATTGTCCGTGGCTTCTTTCACATTACAACAGCAGAGTTGAGTAGTTGCAACAGGGAAAGTATGGCCCCCTTAAAGCTAAACTATTTACTCTGTGGGCCTTTTATAGAAAAAGTTTGTGGAGCCTTGCTCTAATCTCTCAGTTCACCTACTTTGTTGAATGACTGTATAACTGGGACATAGAGTTCACTCATTGCGCAGACAGCCTGAAAAAAAAAAAGGGCTGTGGTGGTCCAGGTAAGTTAAGGGTTTACAGGAAGACTTCAGCCCTCTACACACATCAGATTTAACTAGCCAAAACAGCCCATAGGGCAGGAGCAGATACATTTAGTTGAAACACATAAAATTGACATTTTTGTGGGTCAAAAACTTTTGAATTTGGGGAATTTTATAAAGTTTGACCTAATCTCTCTAGCGTAATTTCCCTAGGCACCCAAGTCTCAGGAGAAGCTACTGTTGCTAGGTAGGGATGCATTGGTCTGGAAAGCTCAGTGCTCGCTGTATCCCTCTCCTGCCACATTTTCTAGGCATTTCCATCTCCTGTCAGTTTTTACATAAATAGTCTTTGTGCTTCTGTTCAAGAACATGCTCGCAAATGTGAGGTCATCCTAGTCCTTGAATGAAACTATACCAGCAAGGCAGTGTGTCCACCTGGAGAGAAAGAAGCTAATTCAGGTTCCAGGTGTCCCTGACAGTATCTGTGCTGCTAGTTTCCCTGATCTGTTGAGGCCACACCTGTGGGAGAGCATCACTGGTGGTTTGAGCTCCTATGGACTTCGTCTGCTCCACCCCTGTGCTACCAGGCTGTGATGAGATAGGTTATCCAGGGTCTGTTAATTTGGGAACTCACTCCCACTTTACGTGGTGCACATGTTCTCTTGTCATTAACTCATAGCTCAGTTGAACCACATTGTAGGTGATTTTGCAAGAAGTAAAGATACAAAACATTTTAAGACAAATTACATTGGTGATATATTTTAACCCTCCAGGTAATCCCTTCTAGGATATCTGATGTCAAACAAGTGCTATCTATAGGCACTTTCTGCAGCAGGGGAAAAAAAAATGTGTTCAAGAGCTGGTTTTTGGGGCTTTAGGCTCTGACTCCACCTTGTAAAAGTTAGGCACTTTTGGACATAACTCTTAGTCTGTTTAGATTGGCGATTACTCGGCTATAAGTTGACAATTGAAATGGGTCATCTCGGGGATCTTCACCATTTTAGAAATGCAATCAACATCCATTTAGGGATTTATTTGAATTGCTAAAAGAAATCAAATTTTGAAGAAGAAATAATATTTTCTAGTATGTCACTGTTTGCAGATCACAAATAACTGGCCATAGGGGAAATTACTGACTTATTTTGCATTCATACCTAATTAGTAATTTGCTATGGGATCATGTGAGGATAGGCAGAAATGAAGACAAATTCCCTCTGTGACATAATTGGGGTGGCCATATTTGCCAGGTTTCCTGAGACAGACCTAATTTATGTTTGTTGTTCCAACATAATTATTAGCAGTGCTCCCTTTCATTCTTAAAATTGTTCCCATTAAGATGACAATGTATGGTTCCACTAAGTATAATACAGTAGAAACGGATGTTAAAGTTTTTAAAAATCACTGATTAAAACTTTAAGGCCCACAATTATTGTATAATGTGGATTTTGTTTACTAGGAAAAAATTGTTACCACACATCATTATCACTTTACACACAAAAGATGATGGTCACTCAGTCCATTGGTACAGAGCTAAACCACTAATTCTGGGGTATTGTTATGATCATCAGTCTACATTTACTTTCTTCCTTTCAAAAACAGGAAGCCTTTTAGACTTACCAAGTGTAGTTAGGGTCATCGTATTTTTTAGCAGCCCCAGACAAATCCAGCAGAGGCAATTTCTTCGTTACCTCTTGGATTAAGAACTCGCTAGAACAGACCTGCTGCTGCTTTCCTGGGTTTCCTAAACTAGAGGGACTACCTGGGATGGATTTACACCTATGATTAGAAAAAAGAAGGACAGGTGAGAGAACCTGCCTTTCTGCTTGCCTCCATTGCCTCCCCAGCATTATCCCATATCAAGTCTGTGACAAGTGCAAGTCAAGTGCAACAAAATTATAGCCAGGGTTAGGATTAAGAGAACCCTTCGAGACCTCGTTATATAAATATCCCATTGAAAGCTTATAAAGTTTTAGCTGGCCTTGACCTACAAGATTGATTTCTTTATCGGTTTATAAAGTGGAATGAGTTCCAGATCTGGTCTCTCAGTTCTGGGGCTGTTTGGGTGGTGATAAGGAGCATGTGTCTTCCGTGTCTGCAAGGCTGGGTGAGTGCCTGTGTGCGCATGTTCTTAATTCCTTCTTGCTTTAGCGGTGCCCTTGGTCCAGGATTGTTTATTGGCCTATTTTTCTCCTCAGTTTCACAATAAGGTGACCTGCTTCATGCTGCATCAGATTGAGGAACCCTGCTCCCTGGGGGCTCATGCTGCTGTAATTGTCCCGCCCACCTGGATCATTAAGGTGAAGAAACCGCAGGTAACTTCTGGGCCCCTGGTGCTGCTGGACCAGTACAGAGAAAAAGGAACTGCTGCTTCTTGCTTTTCTTGCCCTGACTCTTTTTTTGGGTTCCGAAAATCTCTGCTCTCTCATCCCCACAGCCCCATGCTTAGCTTCCCCAGTTCATCCCATTAGCCCATCACTTTACCGCAGTTGGGCTCTCTCATGGAACCAGCCTCCCTTTCCTGAAGAAATCCAAGTTCCACAGCAGGAATGGTTCCTTCCCCTTTATGTGCTAATGGTACTCACTTTGGGTGTTCTCCTAAGTTCGTTAAAGACTAGTAGTGGGTGCAGCTAATTCTTACACACCTCTCTTCTCTTCCAGCCTGGGCATCCCCAGGGAGTGAAGGTGAGGGCAAACTGTGCAGGCTTCATTGTTTGGTTGAGCTTACCACCACTTCCAACCTGAACGGCAGACTGTGGGTCATGACCTTCCTAAATACACAAGGCCTGCCCAGAGAGCAACACTCTTTTCTTAAGGCAAAGTAGAATTTATCCTCTTAATACCTAATCTCATTCTGTATTCAATTCTTGTTGTACATTCTGTCCTAGAGCATCTCTGCGATATGCTGGGAAACCATAGCGGTTTCTCAACAAGGTCATAATCTTTGATAGCCAAATTTCTACCTTCGTACCATACATCTTAGACCTTGAGCTCCAAGTTATGGGATGGCAGACTTGTAACGCGATGGTGGGAAAGATGATACCTCTCCTAGAGATGCACCTACCGTATGATGGCCTATTGAATGTAATACCTTTAAAAGATATGGCAGTCCTACTTTATACGGTCTTCAAAATCATCATGCAGTTTATTCTCACTGACTCAGTTGTATTTAAAAAACTGGTGGATCAAGGACACTGTTTTGCTTTGTGTGTTTTTACATAAAGTTCAGCTTCTCTTGATGAGTAACATTTAGTAATAAGCTTTCCTAGTTAACAGTCCACAAAAGCCCTTGGGAAATCTCTTCCAGAGGCAAATGCAATATCTATTCATTAAAAAATGGAGAGCCTAGCTTTTTCATCTTACATTTTAGAGCTGTTAAATGAGTGGCCCAAGGTGATAGCAAGTGGAGTACTGCATTTGAAATTCAAGTACCCATTCCAACTTACCGTTAATTTAAAATCTCTAACCTTTTTACTTCTTTGGTTCCCCAACCCCTAAGATTCAATAATCTCTCTAAGAGTGTTATATTAAATACTCAGTTAAATCAACATGTTTTCACTGAAAACCTTGATGGTAATAAGAAAGCTCCTAGGTATTGTGATGTAATGCATGATCCTTGTCCTGAAGAACTGTGTAGTTTTCTTAAGGAAAGATCAAGGAGAACCTCATGAAGGAGGTGAATTTTACTCTACCTCTTTAGAGATGGGTGGGATGTAGATCGATGGAGAAGAGAGGAAATAGCAGGCAGGAGAATGGCATGAGCAAGGGTGCTGTGTCCAAAATTATATTCATGAAGCTGTGAGACTAGTTTACACTCCATGGGTGGTAGTGTATTTCTGTGATGTTGCTTTCAAAGGAATGGAGTAGCAGATTGTTCACTCTTAGTTCTAAGACTGATCAGTGAGTTCGGGAGCTATGCTTCTAATCCATCTATCATAAAGTTGTCCACCAGCCTTTCACCATTTTATCCATTGAAGATTATTACCTAAATCTATTCTATTAGGGGTTACCAAGAGGTGGTTTTCCCGATTTTTACTCTTCTTTACTTTCCTGCTGGTAATAAGGGAACTAAAAAATAAAGCTAACACATGACAGATGCTTGATTATTTACCTTTATTTGTAAATTTTCAGAATAATAAGTTGGTACCTTAGCAACGTTATTAGTTGGCTAAGGGTGGTGGTGGTGGTTTTCAGAGCATATCATTATGAAGTGTCAACTTACCTTATGTGATATATAAAATATATGATATTTCAATCCATTGGCATCATTTTTTATATTCATATTGTTTTATCTTTGACCAGTAGGACCGCCTTTCAGATGGCTCTTGTCTCCATTTTTCATGAGCCATGAGGGTTTTGATGACTTCCTTGGTTTCAGGAATCATACCATGTTCCAGGATCATCTTATGTATTTCCTGCCTATACCTGGAAGCAGCCATTTCTCTGAGGAATCTTGGTTACTTTTAATGGTGAATGGTATTACAGTTCACAGTCTAGATGCTAAAGTCCATATTGATTTCATCACACACACACACCTTTTTATTGTCCTTCTCTGATTCAGAAAAGTGTACTAATAAGAATAAGAAAAACTAACACATATGGAATGCTTTTATATGTATTGGGAAATATTTTAAGTACTTTACATTCAGTATCTCATTTTACCATCAAGTACCCTCTGAGGCAGGTACCCTATTCCTATGTTGTAGGTGAAGAAAGTGAGAAATAAAGTCAAGTAAATTACCTGGGGCCATATGGTTATTAAATAGTTTGAGGTGACATTTGAACCTAGGAATTCTGATTCTGGAAACCAAGTTCTTAATGATATGTCCTGCTGCCTCACTGTCTTACTATAGCAAGCCTTGTTGAGTCACATATCTTTAAAAATTTTGTAGTCCCTCCTCCTATGGGCCCCCAAAAGAAATAATTTAATACATTAATTAAATTCCATTTGAAAGCCAGTATATGATGAGCGTGGGGGACAATACAGTGGTTAGGAGCTCTAGCTTATGAGCCAGCCTGCCTAGATCCTTAAACTGGCTCTGCTGTTTAGTGACTTGTATAATCTCAAAGAATTTAAACTCTTCAGCTTCTCATCTGCAAAGTGTAAATACTAGTACCTAGTTATAGGGTTTTCATGAGGACTAACGAACTGAAAAAATAAAAATAAAGCACATAAAACCGCACCTAGCCCATTGTAAAACTCAAAGGTTAGCTCTTGGTATTTTCCTTGTTGAGTACAGGGTATCAAATGAAGTTCTACATCAACAGATGAAAACCAATAACAGAAGTTATTGTTCCCTGAGCCATCTGTATTACACTGAGAGAATAAGGGGAGAGAAGGATTCTCATGGGGAAAGAGGCAGAGTAGGGGCCACAGCCTGGTGTCAGGTGTGCTCTCAAGTGGCATCTCAACCTGTGCCACTGTAACTGTTGTATTTTACACTGTAGTGGGATTGTGTGTTCACTAGCATGATCTTTATCCCATGGCAGAGAGTTAAGAGCTATTCATTTACTGAATTGAAGAACCGAAGAAGACACCGTGAGCATCCACAACCAGAAAGTGAAAGGAGGTAGAGAATCCTGCAGAACAGGGAGCGGCCTCTCATGGCACAGAGTTTCATTATGAAAAATGGAAAGAAATATAGGGAAACCATCAGTGTTAAATTCTCTAGGCATTAAAAAATAACAAGGATTGAGAAGAGTCTTTGTGTTTGGCTCTAGAGCATTGATGACCATCAAAACTATAGTTTGTAGAGTGTGGGTGGCGAGCTGTTAGTGATGGCGTGGAAGCAGTGAGATTCAAGAATTCACTGGAGACATGGAGAAAGGCTAAAAAAAGAAATTGGAAATTAGATGGAGAACAGCAGACAAAATGTTTTTCCTACTTGTAGAATTTATGTATATTTTTTTCTGTATGTGAGGACACTGCTTAAAAACAAGAAGATATTCTTAACTGCATGACGTAGACATTTAACTCCATTCACAGATGCCATTCGATGCAGCAGGTAGGCCCACAGATGAAACAGATGTTCATTTGATGTCCACAAAGAATATCCTCCTTATGGGAGAAAATTGATACAACAGACTAAATCCCTGGGCAGGAAGTTCATGGATTCTGGAAAAGGAATTCAGCCACATATAAATCCTTAATAAAAAAAGAGTGGTCTTCAGGTATCTGGAAGGTTTGCCTTGGTTGTCAGCATGCATCTTTTAGGACAGATATACACAGGGTGGTGATAGGAGGATGCCCCACAGGTTGGTTGGACCAGCCATGGTCTGTGAGAGGCTAACATTTCTAAGGCATTGAGTGGTGAGTGTGATCCGAGATGTAGGAATGAGGTAGAAATATGAAGAACTGAGCAATTTTGGTGGTGGAGATCGTTGTAGGTTAAACAGAAAATGCTGTTTGTGCTTGGTCCTGAAGGATGTGAGGGGACTCACTGGGAAGATGGATGAAGAAGGACAACACAAGTTTATTGAACATTCTGAGAACAACTGTTAAGGTGGATCACCAAATAAAGCCAGCTTTATTTGTGATGCTTGTGTCTAAAAAATGACTCTAAAGAGAAAGAAACCTACTTGAGTGTATAATGGTCAGGAAAAGCAGGTTGTAAAGAGGTGGAATTAAGTCGTATATTTTCCGTATTTGTTAAAAGTTCGCTGGTTCTGAGTAGATCATTGCTCTGGCACCCGCTGTGTGAAGCTTGGATGGTAAGGGGAACCAGGGCTGGTCTGGATGATTTGCTGGGTTTCATCACCAAATTATTTGGAGAGACCTAGAAAATAAGAGATGATGAAATTTAGATGACAGTCCAGAATTAAAAGAGAACCAAATTTTAAGAATCAAGCACAAATCTGTTCATATATTTAAAGACAAAGTTATATTTAATGTTACAGATGTCAGTGTTTCTCCTCTGGACCGAAAATGTTAGAGGATAATATTCTGACTGTATAAACAAGTTAAAGATGTTGAAATAGTAGTGCAAGTGCTTGGAGCTGATGGAGAATGACCCATGATACATGAATTTTTGTGGGGTCAAGTCATAGGAGACTAGAGGTGTGTCTTTTTAATAAATGACATCACTCTGCACGTAATACTTTAAAACTTGGCTTTCCTAGCTTAAAAAATATTGGGGAGAAGCCTGTATTACTACATCTAGATTTAACTCCTTTTTAAACTGATATATATATGTGTGTGTGTGTGTGTGTGTGTGTGTGTGTGTGTGTGTGTGTGTGT